GCCCTTCAGCTTCCTTCCTGAAACTAGAGGTGAAGGGTCATCTCTAAATCCTAGGAGCGACATTTATAGAGTACCAGCTGGGGGACAGCACACGCAGGACCTCGCTTAGCCCCCAGTAGTTCTAGGAGGTAATCCCACCACACATCCCAGGGTGCTGGATGCCTGGGGGTGAAGATGGTGGGCTGCACCGGGGGATGCACTTCTTGGGGACCTTCACTGAGGGGCACCTGGTCCCTGGCTGCTCTCCCGGGCCAGGGGGCCACAGAGAACCCGTGGGGCAGGCCTGTACTTGAGTCAACCCTGGCACCTTGGCAGTGGGATCTTGGGCACATCTCATGGCTCTCTGAGCCTGTTTCCTCACAAGCCAGGAGGGCCCAGTGCCTTCCTCACGGCTCAGGGGGGAACCTGGAAGGACTCGCCCAGGTTCACCCGGGGTAAATGTCCAGCTGAGAGTCAAACGAGCTTTGCTGACCCTGAGGCCATGCTCTCGGCCTTGGCTCCTGGCTGGGCGCCCCCAGTCCCACTGGTCTGGTCGGGCTGCAATGTAGGGGAAGGGTGAGAGGCCGAGCAGACCGAGCTGGGCCCAGCCGCCCAGGTGTGGACCTTGGTCCCTGGTGTCCCTCCAGGGCAGATGAGGAAGCCGGAGCAGACCAGCGAGGCCCAGTCCCAGCGGCCGGAGAGGTTGGCCAGGGCTGGATGGGAAGGGCCAGCAGGAGTGGGTGATGGAGGAGGGCAGGGAGGAGCCCAGAATGAGCAAACTGAGGACACAGAGAACCGGAGGCCTGCCCCAGTCCCCCAAGGGAGCAAGATAAACCCCGGCCTCCTGCTCGCAGCTTCTCCGGCAGGGTAGTGGCCACAAAGGAATGGCCTCTTTTGGCCATTTGCTGCCCCACCAGCACAGCCCCTGTGGCCCAGGAGGAACCTTTATCTCCCCACAACAGTTGCAAAGACTGATGAGGGAGGGCGTTGACCCCACCCACGCCCGCCAAAGAGCCCACCCCCCATCCCCTCATTTTACAGAGGAGGGGGTGGGGGCCTTGCCCATGGTCAGGTCAGGTCACTGTAGCAGTTTCTCTTCCCTGACTGCAAACCATGTGTATTAGTATCCTGGGGCTGCTGTTACAAATGGCCACAAACTTGGTGTCTTAAAACAACACAAATGTATTCTCTTGCAGTGCTAGAGGCCAGATGTCTGAAATCAATTTCACTGGGCTGAAATCAAGTGTCCACAGGGCTGGTTCCTTCTGGGGCCTCAGTTCTCAAGGAGAACCCAAGTTCTTGTCTCTCCCAGTTTCTGGAGGCCACCTGCATTCCTTGGCTTGTGGCCTCTCCCTTGCATGACTCCAGCCTCTTGCTTCTCTGGTCAAGTCTCCCTCTTCTAAGGACACTTGTGGTTACATTTAAGGCCCACCTGGGTAATTCAGGAGACTCTCTCCATCTACAAATTCCCTTTACCACATAAGGTAACTTTCACAGGTTCCAGTATTCAGCCCCCTACAACTCCTGTTCCCTATTAGACACTTTAGCCCAACCAAATCCTTCCCACTTGACTGGTTAAACAAACCAGGGACAGTCACCCAATGGAACACTGTGCAATGGAGTACCACACAATCATCAATCGTGATGAGGGGGAGCGGTGCCGATCTGGATGCGCTAATGATTGAGGAGCTACAATGTGATCTGAATTTTTATTTAAAACAAAGAAAAACTTATCTAGAGAGAGAGGAGCAGTGTGACACTGTGGTGAAATCACAGACTCTGGAGCCAGGGGGTTTGGGTTCACATCCTGCCTCTGGCACTTACTAGTTGTGTGACACTAGGAAATTCACTTAACCTTTCTAATGCCTCAGTTTCCTCATCTGTGAAATATTTGTACCTACTTCATAGGGATGTTGTAAGAATTAAATGAGGTAATGTGTGTGAAGAGCTTAAAACAGCGCTTGCCACCAAATTTAACTGTTAGATATATTTATTACATATAAAATATAAATATGTGCACTATATGTAGGCTGCATAAAAATTAAACTAGAAGGCTGAACTCCAAAGAAATTTTCAGCGATTATATCTCTGGGTGGTGGGATGGTAATAGTTGGTACCAGGTTTTGTTTATCTGACAGTTCTATTTATGTACAATAAACGTTCATTATTTGCATAATCAAGGTGAAATTTAAAAATTTAACAATCT